GCCCGCGCCGGGGGGATGGGAGCCGAGCCAGAGCACCCACTCAGCACAGGGCGGGAGCAGCCGGGGCAGTGGGAGGTCTGCTGCTCGTTCCAGGTTTTAGCAGCCCTGAAGCGCGATGCTAAATATACCCGTCTTTTAAATTGTGAAATCCAACACCTAATTGCTTTGTGGCACATATTTAGGAGGTCTCTGCTCCCGGTAGATCTCCTGTTAATATTAATAGTCATGACCTTCTCTAAAATATGCCCTGGCTCGTGTGGGACTTAGACACGCCAGGGGTTTGCTGAGGTTTCAGGAGTAGCTGCAGCGACTGCTGGCTGCATGCCCTGAGTGCGCAGCAGAGGCCGGGGACAGAGCATCGTCCTGAAACCTGGGGGAGCCTAGGCGTGCTGCCTCACGCTTGCAAAGAGCGAGAGGTAACGGCCCTGTTGCTGCTGGCTCGCTGACAAGCTGTGGTTTGTTAAGCATTTTGGAGCCTGTGGCGACAGCCCAGACTCACGCTACCCCCAGGCTGTGGAGGCCATTGTGCAGTGCGTGTCACCATCCGTGTCAAGTCTGGGACATGGGGAGGGTTGTTCCTTCATCGTCCTGCTCTGCTTCCACACCCTGGACCCACGTGGCCCATGCATCTCCCGAGTGCATCTCTCGCATCCTCTGCAGGAGGGGAGGAGGTGGTACCGCTGCTCCAGCCCCTCTCAGAGTCCATCCTGGTCCTCCTGGTGGGCAGAAACTCGCTCCCGTGGCCCTTGGCCGCAGCATCGTGCTCTGAGAGCAAGGAACCTGCCTTGTTTATTTACCAGAAGTTGTTTCATCAGTTGCCTCTCCAAAGCTGCTTCCACGGGGGTAAAGGTGCTGAAGAGGAGGAGAGGGTGTAGGTCGGTGGTGCCTGGCGTGGGCAGGGGGTGTCGCTGGAAAGAGCCCGAGCTGGAGGAGGAGGAAAGATGGCTAGTTGTCAAAATGTCCCATGGGGGCATGAGGTAGGAAGGGGAGAGAAACCCTGCAAATATTCAGTTGTATCTATTTGTGAATTGGGTTATTTGCAATACGTTACATGTGAAATTAAGTTATTATCAGGCAGATCACACTCTGTATGGGTGGGAGATTGTTGGAAGTACTCAGCTCGTCTCTGACCTTACATCAAAGAGAAAAAATTAACGTTTATTCATCCAGGCTAGATCAACATGAATGTTCCAGCAACATATTCCACGCCTCTCAGATCTGGTGTTAGTTTCAGTCTCATGGGGTATTTAAAAATTGTCTATTAGGCACTCATTTTGTATGCCATCTTGCTTCGGACCCAGAAGGTTTGCATTTTTAGGCTTTTCTTAGAAGCATCCTGACAAATGAGCGTAGGCTGATACCGCTGAGGTCATCTCTTGGCTCCAGGATGTGGGGATTTTGGGAAGTGCAGAAATACTTCTTTGGCTGCGAGGCAAGTTTTTCTAGCAGGAAGAATAGTGGAGTGGTTAAGTGTCGGATGAAGAGTGGAAGATGTGTGTGTGTCCCACCTCTTTGCACAGGCTCGTTGGCTGTGTCTCGCGTGTGCCCAGGTGTGCACCAGCCCTGTGCCCTGGACTGTCATGAGCAGGAACCCAGGAGGGCCAGGTTGCTCCTCCCGCTGTTGAAGCTCAGTGGGAGATGTTGCGACTCTTTGCCCTCTTCCCCAGATGCTTTCTGCAGGTCAGGTAGTCACGCTGCCCTCTGCAAGGTGACTGGTGTGGTCCTGGCCGCTCTGACAGGTGACCCTCCAGAAGGAGGACTGCACATTTGGTGTGGGCTCTGAGTTTGCAGTGTGCCTGCTTGACTTCACCATCTGGAGTCACTCCTCTGATTTGGATGGGAGTACTAATGAGTGTAAAAGGTGCAGGGGTGACAGACAGTTAGAAAAGGACAGAGAACACCCTGGATGTCTGTCATGCATAAACACCACCCGCTCCAGTTCCTTCCCCAAAGAAAAGAAAAATATTAAAAATAAAATAGCGCTTTCAAATGGTGTAATTGCGTATTAGTGTTTATATTCCGTGGCTGACACCAGTGGTAGTTTAACTCCTGCTTCATTTACTATAACTTTGGGATTAACAGCACATGGCATAATAGCCTGTTTTCTTAGAAAGGCTTGTTGGAACCAAATGTCTGGTGTGCACTTATGCACTTCTTGCAGTGAAGTGTGCTTTGCTCTGTGCATTGTGTGAGGCAAAAAGAGATTTATGAGTTTAATTTCACCTTTTCTGCTCTTCTTTTAGGAGTTTCTTTAAAGCCTTTTCACTTATTGGAGAAACTCAGGAACGAGAGAGAGTTTTAATCCACTTCTCCAGCAGATACTACCAGTGCAACCCAAACACCATTTCTTCTCAAGGTAACTTTGTTTCTGATATGGAGGTCTTTGGTTGTCTCCCTATTCCTTCATTCTCACCTTGAATAGCATGTATGGTGCGTGCCTGGGAACTGAAGGTGTGTAATTGCCGTGCCACACTTTAGAGACTGCCTGTGGTGAGCACTGAAACCCTCCACGTTCTCCACGCATAATCGTGGTAAGGCAGTGAAAAATCTGTATTTATCCCCAGTCAGGAAAGGTGTTTAGGCCTCCTCAGTGTAAATCCTCAGTTGTAGCATCTCCAGATTTGAATGTCCTCAGTTGTGGTTTCTGGTCTCGCTGACTTCCAGTGTGTGTGGGTACCTGTACTCTAGTTACACGCATGTGGATGAGAAGAGGTCCCACCTCAGGTGGAAGAGAAGCTGTTTGCTTTCTGTGCTCCATTCAGTGCTTGTGTCGCTGCATGCACTGGCAGCAGGCATGCCAGATCTTGCCAGTTGTGGGGGTGAATTTTGGGTGCTGTATCCAGATCCTGGCATGGTTTCATCTCGACTAGCTAACATCAGTCAGAGTGCTGCCTCCTTGCCAATGTTTTCAGTCATTTTGGAAATGGATGGGGGAAACAAACAAGCACACGGATCGAACCTGAGAAGGTTGGCATTGGAGAAGAGGACCAACCGTCCGCTGGCAGAGCTGCTGCGTTCAGCCAGCCATGCCAGCAGAGGCATGCGGCCCTGTGATTGCAGCGCGGGCTGATCACAGGCTGAGAAAGGGAGGAGGGCGAGAAAGAAAATAAGCACAGGCTAAGCTGTGCCTTTAGTCTCAAGTGTAAGTGAGAAGGAGCTGCTACACTTGGAGGTACTGCCAGGCTTCCTTACCCCTTGCTTTGTGACCTGCCCCCGTTGCAGTGAGGTGATGTTTGTCCACTTTGCGCCTGTTCGGCTTTGCTGGCTGGCATGCCGGGGAGGGGAATAGGCAGCAGTTAGACAGGATCTGCTCCCTTGCTATCTCTGTCCTCTTCCTAATGCCTTTCTTGTTTCGAGGCACCGCAGGCAGTCAGGTAGAATGTCCACACTGAAATAATGACTTGCATGTTGACGCAGCAGGCTTACTCTAGCCCAGGGTGCAGGAGGGACGTTGCCACTTCTGAGCCCGAGTAAGCATTTAGATTAAAGTGAGTCCTGCAGACTTTGCCCAGGATTCTACATAATTTTGATGCTGTATTTCCACCGTCAGTAGTCAAGTGCTACAGTGCAGAAATATGGTAGTTGTTCCTTTTGGTGGAAATCCAGGATTGCATTTGCCTTTCTCTTTTCCCCTTTCCCTTTTCCATCCTCTGGATGCATTTGCGGTTTGGAAACGAGAGGGCAGGCTGCTCTAGAGAAATGCATGGACCTGAACTGGAGCACCACAGCCCCAGATTCAAACTGCTTCAAACTTACTACTGCTAGCAATAATAGTTCTTCTCTCATTTCATGCTCTGCTACAGTTTGGCCACATTGCTTGGGTGCTAGGGCCTGTACAAACGTTGTAAGAAAACGTGGTCCTTGCCTTGGGGAACATCTTTTTCTAATGGCTTCATCTTGCACAGGTTTAAGCCTGTGATAGTCACAGAGTGTGATATATACCTATCCTCATCCCCCATTCCTCTTCCTTCACAGCACAGGGGGACCTGTGCATGGTCATTATCTGGACTCGGCTATGATAATTTTTACATACATTTGCCTGCAGTGTGTGCCTGTCTCATAAATGGCTCTGTGCCTTTATGACACCCGTGTGAGAGAAGGGAAGGTGGCACCATGTGTTTATGAACAAGAGAATGGAGAAAATATTTTTCCTAATGTGTTCCTAACATTCGGAAACTGGCTAGAAGCATTTGGATTTTCAGAGGTGATAAATGGCACCATGGGCACTGTCACCTTTGTCTGGATTTGTGCACAGCCAATACATTTTGGATTTTGAAAGGGGCGCCTGGAAAATGAGGAATATGAAATCGGTGTCAACTTTTGCAAATGGCGGAGTCTACACTGACTTTCCCAAGTCTGCCACAGTGCCTCCAGGGGTGGAGCTAGCGATACAGTCAGTCTCTTCTGGCTCATTGTTGAGGGCCTTTGCTACAAGAACACTTTAGAAATTGCTGGAGCACTCTCTACCGAATATGGAGCCAAGGCAGCGTAAATAGCTGACTGAAGTTCTCCAAAATTCAGGCTAATTGAGCCCGGAATGAGGAGGGGGCCAGAGGGGAGTAAAACAGAATGGGAGTAAAACAGATGGAGAGTAAAACAAAATTCTGCACACAAGAATGGGTGTATTTTACTCTTCCCTTTCTGCCCTGAAGTAAATGAAGAAGAGGGAGCTGATTCAGGCTGTGGTATTGGTATTAGCAAGCAAAGGGTGACAGTGTGGTTTCCTGTTTAGTTTGCCTCATCCATGGGTGCTGCAAGACAGTTTTGACAGTCATTAAAAGATGAAAGAAAGGCTGTTCTGGTTTGGCAGCTGCGGGATGACCTCACTGTTCATTTATTTAATTATGCGTATTTCTTGATAAAACAGATTCTCATTAAGGGAACAGACTCAATTAGGCTATGAGGCTCAGTTTCAGCTGTTCTTAAAGGTCCGGTTGTGGGTTTGCATGTGACTCTGGTTATGTCTCTTTCTGCAGATGGAGTTCACTGTCTCACGTGTGCCATGATGCTGCTGAACACAGACCTGCATGGCCACGTGAGTATGCACAGCTTTGTGTAGACTGCTCCCGTTGACACTGTGCTTGAAGGGGGTGGTCTTCCGGCAGCAGAGTCCCCTGGCTGGTGGCCTGCTCCTAAAGCACCCCTGCAGACAGCAAACAGTGAGAAGGCTGCACTCCCAGGCTGTCGTCCTGGGCAGGGCTTTCCAGCATGCCCAGATCAGTCATGTGTAAGCCTGGCATTGTGCCTGGTTTTGCCATAATGTGTGAGGATGCTCCTCACACATTATGGCCTGCTCCTCAGGCCCCTGTCTTTCTGGTGTGCTTCCCAACCTTCCCTGGTTACAGCAGCTGGCCCTGGCTGGGAAGCTGTGGTTGGGATTGGCTTTCCAGTAAGTAAAAACATTTGGGAAGGCAGAAAAAAGAAGGGGGGTGAGGAGGTGCTGGGAAGGTCACAAGGGGAAGGTGACGTTTGCAGGCATCCAGTTGCAGGGGAGAGATCTGGTGGAACCAGAGTTCTGCTTAGCCAGGGTTATGACAGGTGTGCCTGGAGCCAAGAGTGGAGGGGAACGTCGGCATCCTGAGTGGGAGCACTGTGTTCCCCCCTGCACACCTCTCCCTACTGCCTGCCCAGGGGAAATAGTATTCCAGTTTGATTCCCCTTAGTCACACTGGTATGGGGTGCCAGCAGCCCTAGGACATGTATTTCAGCACCCATGGTGCAATAAGCCTGCTATGCGTGATACTCCCATGCTGATGGGAGGCTTCCTCCGTCGCGGTGTTAGGATGGAGAGGGAAAAACACAGGGAGCATGGCATGACAGCATGCAGGAGAGGTGACTTCAACCAGGTGACTTTGGGGCTTCTCTCTGGCTGAGATCCTTCACTGCACTGCCAAGGGCTCTTCCAGGAGGGCCTCAGTTGGGAGCTCTTACGCAGCAAGGGTGGTGGGTCGGGCAGCAGGAGATGGAGGCACCCTGGGTCTGTCTCCGAGGACTGCTCGGTCCCTGTGGGTGCAGCTCTGCGGTGGGTGCAAGTAATGAAGCCAAGGCTTGTGTGTGCTTCCCCGAGGGTTTTGACGCCCACCTCCCGTTAATTGAATGCCTTTGAAAATTGTAGAAGCGGGAGGGGGAACTGAGTTGCAAAGAATTTTCTTCTCTGAAGGCTGAGCCTTCCCTGACTGAGGAGCACGTCAGTCATGCGGGAGGGTGAGCAGAGGTACAGGAACGTGCCCTGGTGTGCCTCTTAGCATACACCGCTTCTCTTGAGCACACCTGAGACTGCCTGTGCAGGTATCCCGCTCCCCAGAGCAATGAGCAGTCTGGGGCACCCGCTCTCCAGCCTGCCTGGCCTTGCAGTCCGGGGAGGGAGACTAAATGGTTGTGCATCAGCCTGACAGCATTTCCCATCGCTCCCTGCGATGCTTTAGTGGGCCCTACTGTCTTCATTAGGTACTGGAGTAAATGATCTGGCTCTGACCCATCATTGCTGATGATGATTTGCAGCTGAAGCTAGGATGACTCTGGCTATTGCAGTGTGTAACTTTGGAGGCTTATCCTACTGGCAGTTGTTAATGTGTTGTTATATGTGCGCAGCTGTAATGTTTGCCAGGCTCCTGCATGTGTCTCCTCTCTTTCTCTCTCTGTGCTTTCCTGTAATTTTCATCTTCCTCTTACTGCTTTGCCGTATTTTTCCACCTAGGTGGTAAGTTGGGCTTTTTTGACTTGGAATGCAGCCCCTTGCAGATATACACTAATTGCCTGTTTCCTAACAAAGATAATGCTCTGACCCATCCTTAGCATGATTCTGCTAGAGCAGGAAGCAAATGAGTCACAGGGCTTGTCTACACTGAGCTCCATTTGTGGCTGACATACTGATCATAAGTGCGGACTCTTTTATTTCACAATAAGCTCAACTGCTTGTAGGGCTGTAGTGCAGCTGCTGTGCTTTCAGTTAACACTTTCCCTTAACTCTTGTAGACAAACTCTTACTTATCCCTTTATTTATCCCTGTCTTGCCACATTTCATTCTCTTTGTGACTAAATCATTTTTGCTAGCTGTGTCTTGGAGATGCATGCTCGCTTCTCTGCAGGGAGGTCATCACCCAGACTGTGATGCTAGAGACTTCGAAGGTATCTCTAGACTGCCAGGCACATCTTACGGAACCTGTGTGGCACCGTGTGGAGATGTTAGCTTTGGTTCTGGAGCAAAACAGTCATTCCTCTGCTATGCCAATTATCTCAGTGGGTGAAATGAGCCACGCTGCTGTTAATTTTGGTCAGCGTGGGGAATCTGCAAACTGCCATGTGGAGGAAACAAACAGAAGCAGGCTGAAGTCTGTCACAGGGAGGAAGGAAAGCATTTGCAAGTCTAGTAGAACAGCTCCAGCCTGCACCCAAAGACTGCAATTATGAGCTGTATTCTGCGAGCTTAGCAACCAGAGAGCCAGGGTTACAGCCAGACTGGGTTGTCAGGAGCCTTCCTGATGTGGGAAGCAGTGCATCATGTGCCCCTCCAGAAGTATCTCGCCTCTTGTGGAAGGCAGTGTTCCTGCCTGCTTTCCTTCTGCTGGTCCGTGCCAGCCACAGGCTGCGGGATCTTCCATTGTGGCTAGATGAGGCTGATGGTCAAGGTTTACTGGTTTTCCATCTCTCCCTGATCATACATTATGGAAGGGAAGTAGAGGATGTGGAGTCCAAGCTCTTGTGTAACTGTGACGTTGAATGACCTGTATTACCGACTGGTGCCCTTCTTTGGGCTTCACTCCTGTGTTAATTTGGGCTCTTGCTCCTAACCCAAGTCACTGTCTGCGTGTAAAGCTCTTCCAGTGTATTTCTGCAGCCATGGCATACCCTGACCACGGAGAAGTCGTCTTCACCCACTTCTGACTGGCAGCAGTGGCATCCCCAAAGATACCATGGTCATCACAGGGCCCTGTTTTCCTTCTGCCTTTACCATGTCTCACAGCTCACCCCAGGCTGCTTGCCTTTCCTCAGATCTCTCTGGGCTCCTTTTTCACCAACTCAGTGTTGTCATTGCTGCCCGCTCACAAGGCTCCCTGGATGCCAAGCGTGGGACTTCTAGCACCCAGGGGACCGAGTACAGACACTTTCTCTGAGGGATGATGAAGACTGGGATCCAAGAGCAGTTTAGGGCAGCCTCAACTCTCCAAATGGAGCAGTTCGGATCCTACATGAACATAGCTGTTCCTTTCTGTTTGTGGCTCAGTTGGGCAACTTTCAGTCTGAGAATTAGACAGAAAGAGAGAAAAGAGAGCAATCCTATGAAAATATCAAAGCAGCCTTAGCCTGTGAATCAGAAAAGGTAATGGCTGCTCCTAGGCATCTTACTCCAACTTGGGGCAGTTGCTACTGGAAGGGAGCACTGGAAGTCGTAAGAAAAAGGTCTGGAAAGGGCCTCCATCGGCTGTTTGCTTATGCCCCACAGCAGGATCAAGTAGAGCTTTTCCATCAGAGGCTGGTAGACCTTCTGGAGGCATGGGGTGTAAGGCACCATGCAGATACCAGGGAGCTTCATCATCACCCTCTTCGTTACCCTCCAGTGTTTACCTGTTTTTCTTTCTGTATGGTTGTACGGGACTTGGGGTCCAAATCCACCTTACCTTTTCTAACTATATTCACACAAGGATGCTTGTTCTGAGCAATCTTGGGAATGCCTTCTTAGTGCTGCCTGCCTTGGGCTTAAGTGGGAGCAGGGAGTTGTAATTCATCTGATGTTGCTTATTTACGTCATTTTGGAAAGCAGATGAGTATGATGCTGTGTTTCTCTGCCATCCCTTCCAGAACATTGGGAAAAAGATGACCTGCCAAGAGTTCATTGCTAACCTCCAGGGGATGAACGATGGCAAAGACTTCCCGAAAGGGCTGTTGAAGGTAAGGAATGGACTGCAGAACATGGGTTTCGTTTTTAGTGAGATGGTTCAAAACAGAACACCCTGCTTGCATTTTCTGAACCTTAATTGTCAAACAGGACAAGTGATGGGCATGTTTCTCCTCCCAGAACACATATAATATATACAGTGTTTATTCTGTTGTTTTCCCTCTTGCTTTCACTTGATTGTGATCAAGACTCTCTGCAGCATGGAGAGGCAAGACTGAACTCCAGTGGGGCCAACTCCAGAGCCGTGTGTCTTGTAAGCTCATGCGGTCATGCCGTCCCAGAGTGCTGTCTCCTGATTAAAGCGGCCAGAAGCAGCCAGTTGGTTCTGACTGTTGAATACGTGAGAGCTAATCCTGAGCTTGGCGTATTACTGGGAGGCGTGTGTGTTTTTTCATCAAAGGTGCTTTGGTGTTTTCACATTAGAGCAGGAGATGTAATTTCAGATTAGAATGTGTTGTCTGGCACAGGCTGCTTTGCTTCAGGTTTTGTTCATTAAATTTGTGCCAGGAGTTAAATCTGAAGAACAGAATCTTGTTTCATTGTCAATAATAATGAGAATGTTTCATTTCTCTTTTGTCTGATTGCTGGCATGAAACAGCAGTCTGTTTGAATGATGAGAGGAGTGCATACACTAGAGTTCATAATTTTTTTTTTTTGGTAATGGAAATAAAAATGAGAGGTCGCTGCATCTGGGAGCTGACCCAAAGCCTGCCGAAGTAAATCAAAAGAATTGCCGTCTCTTCTGTGGGTTTTGTCAGGCCCATTGTGAAATGCAGATGTACCTGCATAGTTAAAAGTGGCAGACTTGTTTTCTAGTATTGGTAGTTTCTTCAGTTTCTCAAGCCTTTTCGGGGAGCTTTTTGTTGGGCCCTCCTGCCTCAGTTCTTACTAAGGACTTAGGAATAAAAACTCAACCCCCTTGCCTTTAGATTTAATGTCTTTATTTTTTTAAATCTGGATACAGAGTATTCATCCGTCAGCAACAACACTTAATTTTTTTTTTTTCGCAAGGAATCTAATTTCTCACTCTGCCATAGAGAGATGTGTTGAGATTAATTTGCAGGCTAATTACAGCCCTTATTGAATAAATAGGTCTCAGACTGTGTTTAAATAACCTTCTGAGTTTACTGACAAGAGACTTTCACTGGTGCTTACCTGCTGTTTATTTTCCTG